GTCACTGCTTCATGGGGCTTTAATCGAGGTGGATTTACGTGATGACTTCTGTTACCTCACTTTCTAGGTGTTCTCAAAACAATCATAAAATAACAACATACGTGAGGCGGTCTGAAAAGGAAAGAGAGGTGACGAGAAACTATGAATCAATTGTTTTGACCGTATCTGTCAACATTTATGGTTTCATCATCACTGGAAATAACAACACATTTGACTTTCCTAGAAAAAAAAAATGATTTGGGAGTGACGTTTGAAACTAAACTTTTACGTCAAGCGCAGCCATATTTTACAGAGAAATTGATTGGGTCAGTTCTTGCGTATTTTCTTTTCTTCAGGTCCCCAGGTTGGTCTCCCTGTAAAAACAGTTTTTGTTTCAAATTAATCCAACCATTATCTAACCTGTTATCATTCTTCTTCTTCTTCCTTTTCTTTTCCTTCTTCTTCATTTGCTTCATGTGCCCCTTGGTTCTCATCATTCATGATGTTTGCTATATACTTTCGCTCAAAAATAATGCATTTTTCTTTTCGTTTTGTATTAAGTGCACACTTATGCAGAACCGTTTACTTCGTCTTTGTTCATCATAATTTCAACCACATGCTGTACTGAATCCAGTACAATAACAATAACATACAAACAAAAACAAAAACAGCAGTGACAAAACTTCCTAGGGGGGCATTCATTCCTTCAAGAGAGTTGGAAACTTCGATACGACGTCTGCCTATTGTGTTCCTTATTTAGCTGCGGTTTCTTTAGAATTCAGGCAAGACTCACATAGAACAATCACTCAAGTATACCCCTGTTTCTCCTTTGTTCTGCTATCATTTGCTTATTTCCAAAGGACAACAAGTTCAGCAGCTGTTCTAGATGACCTATAACAGTATAAGAATGCGGAGACCGAGGACATCTAACGCCCTTAATAATAATGCACCTGTTACTATCAAAATATGATTTTAACACAATATGATGTGCGAACTTAACCTTACATTGCAAAATAATCGTTCTTATATGCAGTTTCTTGTTAATTTTGTCGCATTATCATTCTAAATTGATGAGAAGATTGTGTCATTAAATCACCGATCAGAATGAAGAAGAAAAAATGAAGATGAAAATTACAATACTTGTATGCTTGGGTAATCTATAGCTTTGTGTTGAAAGGTTTACTCTGAGAATGCCATGACTTTAATTGAAAAAGAAGATGATTATTCTCTTAGAGAGATTTTTTACACGAAAATTGGTATCCTTTGTATTTTTGCAAAGTCTACTTAAAATGTAGGCCTTCATACTTATTCCAATAGAATGTCAGTACAAAAGCTGTTTCATTGAAAACCACGTGTCGTATTGCGTGATAACGCACCAACTAGATCGGAGCTATTTATTCTTCAGAAATGTGATCATAATTAACTTGATTGCTATTTTTTCTCTAGCTTTCTCTCCCGCAAATTATTGTTGGCAACATTTCCCCAGCTTGTCAATCTCCTAACATCAAGCACGTCCATTACCTAAAACACATCGCCTTCTCAATTGAGAAAGAGGGGACAATTCACTCCTAAATTATCAATTATGTATATAACAAATGCAAATTAAATAACATTTGAATCTTACTCTTTCTTTCATTCCACCTCCCTACTTTAGCTTCACATTCTCTCTTTCTCTCACTCCCTCCCCCTCTCTCTCTCTCTCTCTCTCTTTCTCTTTCTCTTGCACTAACTTCTGCAATCTTATACTTGGCAACATTTTTTCCAGCTGGTCCACCCCTCTCATCGAGTGCTTTCCTACGTAGACCCTGGGAGGAAAACTGGGATCATCCGCCCCACTTCATACAGCTTACAATGTCGCGACAGACTTGATCTAAGGGAAATCTCACCCTCGCACCCTAAAATATACTCTACAAAATAGCTCATGAAGTAAAGGCTTTAAGTATTTCACCCGTATTACTTTGTATGTCTTGGGTATGATGAAGGTATAAACGCATAGAAAACTTTAAGTGTTATGCGTCTCTTCTTGATTCAGTTCTCAAATGTATCCCTGTCATCATGCCCATAATTCAATTGCAGTTATGTATTGTATTATAGCAGCTTATATTCCGTAGATCATATTAATATCTAATTTAGATGATAATTAAAATAACATTTAAGAAAATGCGTGTTTAAGGAGAAGTGAAATGTCATGAAATACCATCTTTCTATGTAGGTCTATATGCTATCCAATTTCTTCTTTATAAAACTGCAATTATTAATGATGTAATGCAATGTGAAACGTATTGTAAGAATTAAGAAATTACTGCAAACATTCAGCCAGTGGCTGCAATGAATTGCTGAAATAAAACCTATTGTTGAATCGAATCAAATTGAATGTATATCAAAATGCAGTACCAACATCCTCGCTTACGTTGTATGTTATCCGCCTCATGGAAAGTACACCCGTATTATTCTACATCTTTGTTCGTCCTCATTTCATGTAAATCTGTTCCTTTTTTCACCGTTTTTGATTGATCTAAGAGGTACAATATTTGCCACATGATAGCCACAGATTTTGAGAAATACACCCTAACAAAATATAATGTTTAAACTACCACCACCCCCTTTCTTTTAAAAAAAATATCTTTTAGGTGGAATTTGGGGCGAGTCCAACCTTGGTGACAGGCTGCTTTGAACAAAAGCAGAACTTGAACAGATAGGATAAACAAAGGTATGATATTTTATACCTTACACTACGATTCTGGGAGATTACGATATTTTGCTAATTTGGTAATTTGAAATACATGTATTTTTGTATTGTATTTATTAAACTTCATTGATGTACATCAATATTCTGTTTATAAACATATAATCACTTTACAATGTAATGTAACAATCAATATTCTGTTTGGGAACATATACATCATATAAGTCAATTTATAATGTAATGTAACATATCAATATTCTGTAAACATATATACCGTATAAATCAATTTACAATACAGTGTTTATAGCAAAACAAAAGGGAAATTATATTCAGCAGAAACACTCTTTATTCTTTTAGTAATAACATGACATAATGCATATAGTAATATAATGTACCACAAAACACCCGAAGATTTAGATATATAAAACATAATACAGCACTTTTCTAAATAAATTATAAGTCATGCAATACAAACTAGGTAATTCAAATCTCTTTCGCTGCGTTATCTTTTATATATATGTTCTACTAGCTCGTGATTTTGGCCAGCCACGGTACAGTGATAGATTAGAAGGATGATAAAAGTCATTTAAAACATGCCTTTTTTCTGACTTAAACTTGTGTAGATTTAAAAGAAACTTTTGATTTCTTAAAGGCGTTGTTTAAAAATGCCGAGAACAATGCCAAATCTGAGATGCATGGCCCTACGTGTGATCAGTGGTTTTTGCGACGTGATGTAATAATGAAGCCCTAAAAAAATTGCACTTCAAAATGATCATGAAGTGCTTCAAATAAGTAAAAATCTTTGAGTGACCGGTTTTACAATACTCATTCCGCCCAATAGACTGTAGTGTTATGTCAAATTCTAATCATAAATATCTTGATATTCGAACATGACTGTGATTGGCTTGGAAAAGACATGGGATTTATTTCTGACCTGAAGGTTTATGATTATGATCGCAGCATGAGCTAAATCCAGGATCTTGTTTAGAATCAGAGGCAAAGTTACACAACGTGGCCATGTCTATAATAATATTTGGATTTCAATAAATTTGCGATAAATGTCTTTCTTTGTTAGAGGATACGCTGATCTCAATGTAAGGATGGTGTGTAGCCCAGTGGTGTATGCAGAAGAAAGCCAAGAATAAAATAAACAATATTGGGCTCTTAACTTTTAGCCCTCCATCTGACCCGAGATTCCTCTGTGATACCAGAGAACAAGAAGAAGAGACATCTTGTGTCATCATAGTGCTAATACCTTACATCCCAACAAGGATAAAAAGAGCGGCGACTACAAAGCACTTACGAAGAAAGGGTGTTATTAACATCATCCGGCCATGTTGTAGCGCGATAGTTTGCTATTCATTGTTATACGCTTAGCAACCATTTGTTGCTAACTCAATTTCCTGTGATTGTCGCAATTATTGAATGCTTTGTTGGTTCATCAGAATTTCAATCCAACTCTTGAAGCATATCAAGAGAACAATTATCAAGGAGATTGCAGAGTGGAAAGGAATTCTCATCATTTTGATTGTACAACCCTTTGCATTATTCTGTATTAGATTAAAAAGGGAAACGTCGTTGCCATACGGACAGCGTAAAATGAGACATTTGCAGTTTCCTAGAGTTCCGACACAGAAACATATGTAGCACTTAGTTGTATTAGTCTTGTATAAAATCACAAAAGAATCTACAAAAAAAAAAAGCAGAAGTGAAAACCACTGTGTACTGAATAATGCATTATACTAAGGAATACAAAGGAATAAGGAGAAAACAATCGCATAGTTGGAGACAAGGTTTACAGCGATGGAATACATTGGAAAATCAAGCAAAAATGATGAACGTAAAATAAATCTAAAGAAAATATCTTCGTTTTTATGGTTGTACCATGGAAGTAATTTCCTATCGGATTGTACTGTAATGTACATGTACTGTATGTGTAATGCTGGTGGAAAGCAAATTCCCTAATTAATGACCATGAGTGAAATACATGAACTATTAATCAAACCAAATATCTTATCAACATGAAACCCAAAACAACCGTTTGTCAGAGCTTGATAAAGCTACATTTCCTTTTGTCCAGACTTTCTTAATGATTTATATTGATCTGTCAAGTCTATCACATGATATCACCCCTCACTTCTCCCCCATCTCTCTCTCTCTCTCTCTCTCTCTCTCTCTCTCTCTCTCTCTCTCTCTCTCTCCCTCCCCTCTCTCTCTCTCTGTCCCCCCCCCCCCTCTCTCTCTCTTCTTTCTAACCCAGTTCCCTTTTTCAAGCATTCTTTACCGAAGACAGCTAGAGAATCCATATTCAAACATAAAAAAAGCACAAAAATCATTTTCTCTGCACACATCACAACAATTTATTGACTTGTACCACTGACATGTTTGACTTAAATAATATGCACATTGCTCTTCAGAACTTCACTATAAAAAAAAGAAAGCCACAAGCTCTTGTATGGATACGGTAAGTATTTCCCAAAAGGCCATTCACGAATCTTCAATACCAGTATGAAGTGATGAGCTAAATCCACTTTCCCATTAGTCACAGTTAACTCTGCATAACTCAAATTCCCCCAAGTTAAATCAAATTTGGGTCAAACTATATGAAATGTGTAATTTACACCTCATAAGTCTAATTTTGCATAAATCAAACTATTTTTTTTGGTGGTCCCAACCCATTCCACTTATGAAAAGTTAACTGTACAAATATCGTTCATATATAAATACAAGAAGGTATACACATGAATTGGGAATAACAGGGCTGTTGAAAGACCTCACAGGTACTTCAATAGCAGCTCATCTCTACAAAGCCTGAAGTTGAATGACCTATGTGACATGGCTAAGAGAAAGATCCTATATTACAAACCTGTCACTATGTCTTTTATTTTTCCATAAAAAGTGACTCAGGCAAAAACACTACAATATTCCTGAAGACATGTTTGGCCTAATGTGGCGTGCATGTGTGCTGCAACATCAACCCTCTGCACAAACAAACAGAGAGTGATAATAAAGTATAAAAGATAACAAATAATACCACTTCAAGCATTGCTTATATTCATTATTAGAAAACACCATTACAAAATACATCAATATCAATTCATTTGCTTCACATTTTTTCTCCCAAAACAGATACATTCAATATCTGAATGTGATCATCCAAAAGGTCTTTTAAGACACATTTATTGGGTTAGGTTATACTTCACTCATAACAGTATTTACTACCATCAGTGGAATGAAGGTCACAGTTTAACAGACAAAGTACTGGTTCATGTGAGATATAGGCTACAGTATATGAGGGATAAATTTACTGTTACATCGTGTTCAATCTTCATCATGTTCTGTCAATGACCATTTATTGTACGTCTTGTTATTATGGTAAGCCTATCAAAGAATCACTGCGGTACGATGGAATGACATGAGCACAGTGTCTTTCACATTTGTGTATCTCATAACACATAAATGAGACACTATTACTCAGGGCTATTTGTTGGACCTCAACTTGCCATTCATTAACACACACAATGTTTTTACTATTACCGCATAAGGTTTATATTTTATAGCATCAGATGAGAACAAGGCATCAGAAGTAAAAGAACTAATGCAGGGGGGGGGGGTGCACATCTATTGTGTGAGCCAATAGAATGCCTCTTCACTAAATAAATTTAGGATAATTTGTAAATTTAGTTTCTTCTTCTAAACGAAGGAAGGTGGTACTTAAATAGAGAGAATATTGTGAGTGGGGTTCTCTTCCTGAAACATTTTGACATAGTTTGAGGCATGTGCCTCAACTTCAGGAGGAATGCATTTATTTCTAATGGGCTCGATATAGGAATTCTTCAAACAACCCACCATATCTTACTGGGTCTGAATGACATCTATGTCTGTGTTGGTGCAATACATACAAAGACACCTTAATGTATTAGCTTATGATAGCTTAATCTTACACATCCACTAACTATAGGAGACTACTGATTGGAAGTCAAGACGTGTTATTCAGTTGTAGGGGCAACCGTTCCTGCACCTTCCCTCTCACCAGCCTTCTTAGATCCTGACACAATGTCATCAATGCGAAGCAAAAGCATAGCAGTCTGACATAAGTAAAGAGAGAGAGAGAGAGATGTACATTTGGTTAGAATAGTATATCATTATATTAAATTTTCATCTGATCAAGTCTAGAAACTATGTTTCAGAACACATTGAGGGAGAAAGGAGAAGGGATTTTTTTGACAAGGTACGATTGTCTGAGGTAGTGGTAAATGTGTCCTTAGAATAAACTACCAATTGTACCAATATATTTTTTAAAACCATGAACTGTGAGACCTCACATTGTCTATTCATGAATGTTGCTTTATACAGAGTTGAATGACCCCTATTGCTGTTTGTTTACATTTCAATATCTTGAAGCAGATTCTCAAGTCCATTCGGGCTAGGGTAAACTGATTTTCCAACTAATGATTTGCAACTATAATAATCTCTTCAAATATACAAATACAGGTAGAATTAAACATCTCCAGGAGAGAAAGAGAGAATCAACTCTGAAAATTGACAAGGAGATGATTATCAAAAGAAAGTTTAAGGTAGTACAAAGTTTTGGGAAATTTTGAAAATTGGGTGGATAGTGATTCTTGACAATTTTGATATATTTGGATGCCCCTGTGGATGTTTTATAAGCACTAGAAAATTTAGCCCCTAAAACGCTTCTGCTTTTGAGAAAAATCTAATATACAAATTTACTGGTGCTCCTGGTAAATTTTGATAAATTTCAAATAGCGCCTACGACCGTACAATGGTAGCTGCGACCATGAAAATCTCAGAATATGTAGTTGTGATATATA